GTTAACACATAGTGAGTGAGACAGTGATTTGGAAAGCTACTTTTGATCCTGCTGACCATCATTGTCATTGAGTACAACCTTAATTTGTATGAAATCCATCAACATTTATATCTATTAAATAAACCATTGTGCAGCACTCCAGTCATCGTGATTGGCTGGCACTGGAGCTGAGGGCTCTGTGTTTGGATGCGACTGTAGCTGCAGCACACTGTGACAGGGTGTCCTTGCTGTTCCTCTACTAAACATCAGTTAATGAACGTGTTATTTTAGGTGATCTGCCCCATCATGTACTGCAGCATAGTGTACTGGATGACAGAGCAGCCTCCTGAGGCAAGTCGCTACCTGCTCTTCATAGCCCTGTCCACCTGCACTGCCCTGGTAGCCCAGTCGCTTGGGCTGTTGGTTGGCGCTGCCTCCACCTCACTGCAGGTAGTGCACGTTTGCATTGTTTAATACACATTTTCTTGGCTGATATGTAACACGATGTATATCCTCTACACCTCCCAGGTAGCCACATTTGTAGGGCCTGTTACAGCTGTGCCTGTGCTGCTGTTCTCTGGATTCTTTGTCAACTTTGACACCATCCCCAAGTATCTGCAGTGGAGCTCCTATGTGTCCTACGTCAGGTGGGTGTCGCTGGGAGGAACATCACAGCTGCAGGTTCAGTCGGGTCCACGGGGTTTTGAGGAAGGACACATTGCTTTCCTGTCTGTACACCATCACAGCACATTTTACATCAAGCATTTAAGAAAAGATTGAAGTGCAGACTTTCAGCTTTAGTCATAAAATTACAAAACTATGTTTTCTTGCCCCAAAGATTATGAAGTTAACAGTGTTTGAGTTTGCTGCCAAAACCTGGAAGACTTGGTATCTTAAGTGTTTTGCTTAATTTGGTCACTTTCAGACGTTCATGTTAACTTAAGACAAGGATGTCAATCTCATGGATAAAAAACACACTCATAAAAATATAAACAATCTGCAACACAAAGCTGCTGCAGAATCGAGTGAAGCACCGGCTGCTGCCCTGCAGCACAAAATGCTTGAGCCTGCTGTAATAAGTGGAGATTAGTGGACAAATAACTAACGGTGAAACACTGTTAACACATTTACACCGGGGTCTGTGCAGAGTCATGGTGACTCTGTGTTTGTGCTTTTTGATTATTAATGTGCTTCGTTTCAGTTTCTGGTTATGTTTCAGTGATTTCTAGCTCTCAGGTTTTGTTCCTGTGCCTCCCGTGTTTAGTGTGTCGTGTCTCTAGTGTAGGTTTGGTTCTGTTTCCCATGTTTCTGCCTCTGTTCCTTATGTTCTGTCAGTCTGCATCTCTGGTTTCCTGTTTTATTGTGATAGTTCCGTCCCGTGTGAGTCTATTCTGTTTTGCTTCCTCTGTCTCGTCGTGTCTGATTAGGTTCAGCTGTGTCT